GGCGGCTCAGGCCTCGCCCGGCGCCTGGGCTCGGCCGCCGCGGCCCCAGTCACTGCGACACCGCGGCTCCGGGCCGGGCCTGCGCCGCCCCCTCCCCCCGCGCTTCGGCCTCGGCGCCGCGACACTCACCCGCATTTCCCTGGTGCCGAAATGGCTCCGGCGACGTCGCCACCTGGTCGCTGGGCCCGGGCCCCGGTTAAATCCCCGTCCCGCCAAGGTCTGGCTGCGTCCCTCCGCCGCCGGGGCCGCCCCGCCTGGAGCTGCGTGCGACACGGCTCCCGCCTCCGCCTCCGCCTCCGCCCCTGCCCGCCCGCGGCCCTCCTCCTCCCGCCGCCGCCGCCGCCGCCTGCACCGCGCAACCTCCGCCCTCTCGCCTTTCCTCCCGGCCTCCCCGGCTCCGGCTACCGTGGGGGAGAGGCTGGTGGGGGAGGGCCGCCACGCACCGCCATCGGCGTCCGGGGCGGGGGGAGCCGGGAAACCGTCGCCGCCATCTCCCCACCAGCCCGAGGGCGGGAGGGGCCCGGAAACCTCCCGCTCGCCGCGGCCACTGCCCCCGGGGGGTCCCCCCGCCCCGCGCCGGCCGCGGTCCCACTCGCCTGGGGGATTTCTACCTGAAAGCCGGGGGAGTCTCTTGTCCGGAACCCCGCGCCGTCCCGGGCCGGGCGTACCGGATCCTCCTCCGGGTTTTACAGCCTCCCTCGCCGGTGGGCCGCCTCTTAACGACCGGCTTCCCGCCACTTCCGACCCCACGAGGAGAGGTCGCCGCCTTAGGTCCGGGACACCGACCCCCGGAGAAAGGGCCCCGCCGCCCGCTGAAGGACAGGGTCTCCCCGTCCGCCTGCGCGCACACACACCCGGAACCGACTTGGAACACGGCTGCCAGGACACCCAATCAACGTGCCCGCCCGGACCGGGACTATTACCAGCGACGATCCCCGGCTGGCTGAGGAGAGCGGCGCAGATGGGCAAGTGGCCCTGAAAACCAGGCGGGGAGGCGTGGAGTCCGCTCGGGCGCCTCGGGACACCTGAGGCCTTCGCCGTCAGCACCTGAAAGCCTGCGCTTGTCTGAGCCGCGTTCTCGCTCCTTAGAACCGGTTTTTAAAGTAAAACTCTCCTAGGCTTCCCGGTGCAAACTTGAACCAACTCTCCTTTTGCGGGGGGGTGGGGGTGGGGTGGGTAGATGTTGACAAAGAATCACTGTACCATTCATCTTTGTGCAGACAAATCCAGGGTAGAATTCAAGCATCTCCATATGAGGATGGCATAAGGTGTGACTGAGCAACGGTATCTTTTCCACGCGTCGTCGTCTGAAGCAGTTCGATGCATTCGTTTGAAATTGAACCGTCGCCACTGGGTACTTTGCAATACTCTGAATGCAAATTTTGGCAGCACCGGGCTTGCCACGGTGACAGAGAGAAAGCATGGACTTGGAGGGAGGGTCTCCTGCTTCCATACCATGCATGGTTCACAGCATGCCAGACAGCTGGCTCGTTTCATGAACAAGCAAGGAAAGATCTCAAATCATCCTATCTGGGCAAAACACACGATGCAAGTAACTTCCTCTAATTGAGTTTTGCTCGAAACTAAAACGGTACAGATATTCTGGGACACCTTGGGGTAGGACTCCTAGGCCTTGAGCAGAGGGCCGCCCCCAGGGTCTGTACCGTTTCCTGAGTCACATGGGCTTCTCTTAGGAGACACATCCCTCCAGTGTATGTGGTTCCTCCTATTGAAATGTGGCCTGTGGTCAACCTCGGTTAAGTATCTTCAGAAGTGTTGCATTTGTCTGCACTCATCACCAAAGCATGTAATCTCAGCCTGGGCAAGGGTTTACAATTCTTGGTTTATATCCTATACTTTTACATAACCTAGTCAAAAGAAAGTTTAGATGTATTTACGGGCACATGGTAAGACTGAAGGTAGAAATGGAAGCCTTGTTTCTGTGGACTGCTTTCCATGGTTCACCTATGGCTTTTTTTATATCCTCGTTTCTTCCCCGATTGGAACCCATGCTTTCCTCAAGACAACAACCTATCTCCACCTTCCCTAACCTGTGTTCTCCACTTGCATCGTTCAATATGGCCTCCCTGTCTGTGACTTGCCACAGTTAATACACGAGTGGAGTGGGTCAGCTTTCCCTTGACTGTTTCTTTCCTCCACCCTCTTTTTTTGCTTAATGGAAGTATTTCGTCCACCTATGCCACCCCTCCACTTCTCACTGCCTAATTTCCTGGTTCTGAACTTCTATCCTTCACTCTCCACCCGTCTGCATCGTCATTCTTAGCAGTTAGACTGTTCCACTGACTTTTATGCACTTCAGAGCCAGGTTGCATCTATACTACTTCCACTCTGGGCGGGCAGAAGGGCATCTACTTTCTTTCCACTGCAAAACATCGTCCATCTTTCTCCCCCATCATAGCAAAACTAATGTCCTTTTTTCAGATGACTGCAGTTAGGAGGGATAATTAATTGGATGCATGTCAGAGTCAAAATGCAAAATAGCTTTAGATTAGAATATTAAGCTAAAACCAATTAAATAAAAAAAATATCACTTTACAAGTCACAAATTATATGATGAAGTTCAAAAACCCAAGATTTAGATTTAGACCTTGTTTTATATTCAGACTCAAACTACTATCTTTTGCTCTAGTTAGCTGTAAAATAGGGATAAAAAGATCTACCACCTAAGTGAAGGGCAATTCCTTTATAATTCCAGCATAATTTCTGAAAACTCAGTTAGTTCCCTTTCTTGCCTCATCTTCCATGAAGTGGAGGCCCACTGACTCCCCTACTGCTGTTGATAACACTAACATTTTCTAAGTCATAAGGGCCTGAAGACTCAAAATCCTGACCTACTGACCTCGCATCCCAGAGCTAGTCCCCATCATAATCTCTTATTTTGGCTCAGTCTGTGGGAGACATTAGCATCATCATACCCATTTTCCAATGAGAAAAACCTAAGACCCAGAGATGTTAGACAGTTTGCTCCAAATCCCTCAGCTTGGTCAGTGCCATAACCTGACTCCCACATCGGCGTATACCCACTCCTGTACTATGATATTTCCCCACACCTATATTGTATCTTTAGCCTTCTCCGTGGTTTTCCTGCTTCTGATCTCTGTCCTTCCAGCCTGTGCGGTGACTGACTGCAGATGGTTCTTTGCGAATGACCTTCATCATTGTACCTTTGTCCTTTCAAACTTTTCAGTGGCTCTCCATTGTTTGCAGGGTTCAGTCCAAACTCTGACTTGGCACTTCAGGTCGACCATAATCTTGTCCTAACTTACTGTCCCCACTTCATTTCCAGCCACCTTCCAAAAGGAACTCTCAACTTCAGACAGGCCTGCTGGGCCTGCGTTTGGCCCACAGATAACCGGCCTTGGATCACCACTTACGAGTGCTTGCTGACACTGGTTCCCCTAACAGAAATAGTTCTCTCTTCCTTTTTCCTGCATCTGCAAATCATGCTCCTTTTTCCAAATCCAGCTCATGACCCCTCCCAGAAAGCCCACTTTGCACCTTCACCCAGGTTTTGCGACCGCTCCCTGAGCGCCAACGTCTCATATGTGTGTTTCCGCCTGATCTGTGTCTTGGGCCAGATGCTATTTCCTAAAGTTCCTCAGCTCCCTCGGCACTGTGCCTGAACACTGAAGACTGTCCAAACATATGTGTTTACTAATGAAATGAAAGGGTACTGTGTCACTCCACTAGCCATATGAGCTATTACTTCTAAGACATGAGTAAGGAATGCGCCATCCAGTGCAAAGTAAATTCATTTGATGAGATAGTTCCCCAACCTGTCTTTGCTTCAGAGTCACCTGGGGACTTGAATACCGATTCCAAGGCCCATTCCAGATGTACTGAGTCAAAATTGGGTGGGAAGGGGCAGGGAAGGGATTTGAAACTGCCAGCGTTTATATCCTGGCTTTACTACTTATTACTCGGGTAACTTTGAGCAAGTTACTTAACCTCTCTGTGCCTCAGTTTCTTTGTCTATAAAATGGGATGATAATAGTATCTCATATGATGTTGTTGTAAATTAAATACTTAATAAACATTACATATGAAGATAATGATGATGATATAATTACCCAGGGTCAGTCTGGTGACCTGAGTTTGGGAACCACTGATTTAATGAACCACTCCTTTTTCTGTTAAGGTTTTAAATGTTATGGCCTTAAAACTTCTGGTATTGGCATTATGACATATTACAGTATGTCTTATTTATTTTGAAATAGTATATGTTAAGCAAGAGGATCCAAGTAAACAGATTTTTCAATTAAATTTGTTTTTTTAATCCAAATCATGAAATCTATATTATGTGCGAGTGTTTTTTTGCAAAACTATTATAGCTTCTTTTAGAAAAATAACTACACATATGCTATAACTATCCAGAGTAATTCACAGTTTAGTATTCACACGATGCAGGCAAGAGATGAAATAATACCATGATTTCTTCCACTCAGGACAATGAGTCATAAATTCTTTTTGAAGGAGCAGGTTTTTAAATCCTTTAATTCATTAGAAAAAAAATTCAAAGCTGATTTTGGCCCATCAAATGCCAAATACACAATATTTTAATGATGTTAAATGTAACTCGATCTACAATAGGAGGCAGAAATTTACTTACCAAAGTCACAAACTAAATATGTCTGAATGGTGAACAGAGGATGGGTAGCCCCACCTTCTGAACGCTTTCTTGACTTATAAATGGCCCATACAAACAAATACAAAAAAGGGCTTGTTTTTACTGCTTGAAATTAACCAGATTCCCTGTATCCTCTCTTAAAACACCCAAATAGCTCTGGGAGAGTAAACAGAGCTTAAGTGTCATTCACACATCAGCATTAACTAGTTGAGTCAGGTTGCCTGCTTTCTAGCACAAATCAGCTCTTCCAGAATGGAGAGTTCTTGGGTAAATCAAGTTTGTGAGCAGCCCTGAGGACTTCAGGGCAGGCGAGGGCCTTGGTTGGGTCAGAGGATCTAAGGAGCAGAGCAATTAGCAAAGGAAGGGCATGAGGGAAGAAAGCGGAACTATTTAAAAACCTAATCTGTCCAGTTTCAGATTTTGCATATTGAGAAGTCGGAAAAGCCTCTTGCTTTGGGGACCCATAAGACAGAAAATACTATTCTAAGATAGTCATGAATTAATTAAGCTTTTGAGGTCTGCCCTGGGGGATCTGAACACCATTCTAACATTCTATTAGGTTGGATCATATGGAATTGTAACTGATTTTCAAATGAATTCAACCTAGTCTGTATGAGATAATTATTCAGAGTTATAGAAAAGAGTCCTAAAATCACTTTTCCTGGGAAGCTTTCTATGACCTTTCACACATCAACCCAGCCCCATGCCCACGTGTGGATTAGGTATCCCACATACTTACTTTTACTAAAGAGTTTGTCGATATTGCATTATAATTTTCCCCTTCTTTACCCCCTACTCCCTTGCAGATTGTGAGCTCCTTGAATTCAGAGACTGTGCCTTTTATTACTATATCTCTGGTATTTATCATAGTGCCTGGCACACTGAATACTGAAGGGACAGTTGGAACTCAACTCATATATGAGTTGGGATTATTTGTACCATGAAACTCAGCCATGCTACTTTCCTGCACGAAGACCTTTAATAATTCCCCATTTCCTACCAAAAGAATGGCAAGCACTTCATTCCTAAAACACCCTCTACACTTTGGCTTCCACGGATCCATCTATACTTGTTTCCCTCTGGGTTCTTATACAGGAAGTCCTCACTCAAGGTCGTTGTTGATAGGTCTTTGGAAACTGCAACTTTAAGCGAAACCACATAAAGCAAAACCAATTTTACCATAGGCTAACTGAGTTAAGTTCCTACAGCATATTTCTGGTCACAAAAACATCACCAACTTCTAAGTGAAGATCCCAAACACTTCTAATATTAAACACTGAAATACATGTGAGCTATGCATACATTTAAGAAAGATGAATAAAAACATTATTTTCCAGCCCTCTTAGTCTAGTTCTAGGTCACTGGTGGCCAGAGCCTTTCCTGGCGTATCCACAGGTCTGGTTTTTCTACCTGTTTGCAGACCCCTCGCCGTGAATGTCCTTTATATTTTGAA